CCTATCCCCTGTGTGCCTTGTCTCCTACGACTATATATATATATATATGAGAAAAGCTGAGATTAGCTCACTAGCTTATATGAACATATGAGCCCAACGGTCTATCTGACAGTCACGACTTCATTTCATATCCAACGGCCTATTTGACAGTCACGATTTGAATTTTAATTTGTTTTTTACAAATCCAAGTCACTTGAAATTTTAGATGTGTGTTCTTATTATCAAGACGCACCTAATAAAAATATAAAATAAAATTGGTGTCATAAAAATATAAAATAAAATAAAATTGGTGTTATAAAAATTAATTTATAGAATAAAGAACTCCAACTTTCACGGATTTCAAATTTCTACTAATTAAATCTCTTTAAAAGAGTCAATATATATAAGCTCTAATTGCATATTTATAGTTAAGGTATAATCCATTTGTGAATGTCCTCAAAAAAGTTTATTTTCAAGCAAATAAAGTAATACGACACCGTCTTTTTTTTTTTCAATTGTGAAAATTTAGGAAATTTGGTTATCTAAAGTGTATTTTATGCCAATGAAGAGTAAGGTGTTTTATGCCAATGGCACTCCAAATTTTGGGGTCCGAGGGCCGGCTCAGTTCGAGAACGATCTGAGGACGGGGGACTTTGGACTACTCTCTGGACAGGGCTCAACTCCAGAGCAATTTGAGGAAGAACCATCCTCGGACCACTCTTTCTTCCAACAAAAAGTATCAAAGAGTAGTCCGAGGATGGGTACCTCGAATCGCTCTAAAACTGAGCCGGCCCTTGGACCGCTCTCGAACTGAGCCCTACTAATGAAAAAACTAGAAAAATATAAATAGAACGTGGCATCCTCGGACAGTAGGGCAACTTTGAAAAAATTTAAAAAAAAAGGTATCGACTGATCTTCCACGTAATTTTCTCCCAAAATTAGCCCATTTCAGATTTTTCTATTTGTTTATGTGTCCGTACATAAATTACTCTAAAAAGAATCTTCAGTTAGTAACTCAGTAAACCGAGGGAAAAATATATAGACACTTTCGCCAGGGATGTGTGGAGTGAAACACAAGTGCCACACGCTGAATTTCTTGATATTTTTCTATTGTCTTGAACAACATAAGGTGCTTTTCATGCAACATAAACTTTAGTCCTGTGAAAGGAAAGTATATTGTATTTGCCCTTCTCAAATATATAGATTGCAATATGCATCTTCCATACTAACTTGATAGACAATATATGCTTTCCTTTCACAAGTTCTATCTAGATATAAACTACTTGATATAATTTAGAAAATAATTTGGGAGGTTCTTTTATCAAAACTATGTTATAATGTTAATGAGATTTAATTCAAATGGATTTGCTGTTTGGATATATGAATCTTTTTAGCTAGAAAGATAGTGCACTACAATGGGTAGTGCCCAACTGTATGAGAACGAAGCTTAAAATAATCTATGTTTAATATTATAATCTTTTCTTTTTTTTTTCAAATTTATGATTTTAGTGGTTGAGATTATTGGTCTACAAAATTTTAATTCCAAAATTGATCTTGGAGCTATTTTTTTTTTAAGAGACCCTATTTGAAATAGATGTGTCGGTCCGCGCATGATGCCTTTAATTGGGTTAAAACCCAATTATTTTACTGAGGATGTTTGATAATATGTGGTGGTCTGCAACAATGTAGGAATCTCTCCAACAACAAATTGACCGGCAATGTTCCCCAAGGACTCTTAAACAAGGCTGCTTCCGGAACTCTTAGATTGTAAGCTATCTCTCTCTCTCTCTCTAAGCTATACATTTGTCTCTCAAACTGAGCCCTAACCTAAAAACTAGAAAAATATAAATAGAAACTGGCATTCTCGGACAGTGGGACAACTTTGAAAAAATTAAAAAAAAAATGAAGATCAACTGATCTTCCACGTAATTTTCTCACAAAATTAGCCCATTTCATATTTTCCTATTTGTTTGTGTGTTCGTACAGAAATTACTCTAAAAATAATCTTCAGTTAGTACCTCCGTAAACCGAGGGAAAAATTATTGTATTTTCGCTAGGGATGTGTGGAGTGAAACACAAGTGCCACACGCTGAATTCCTTGATGTTTTTTTATTGTCTTGAACAATATAAGGTGATTTTCATGCAACATAAACCTTAGTCATGTGAAAGGAAAAGGAAAGTATACGGTATTTATCCTTTCAAAATATAAAGATTGTAATGTACATCTTCCATATTAACTTGATGAATAATATATATTTTCCTTTCATAAGTTCTATGGAAATATAATAATTTAGAAAAGAATTTGGGAGGTTCTTTTATCGAAACTATGTTATAATATTAATGAGATTTAATTCAAATGCATTTGCTATTTGGATACATAAATTTTTTTAGCTAGAAACCTAGTGCACGACAATGAGTGGTGCTCAACCGTCTTAAAACAAAACTTAAAATAATTTATGTTTAATATTATAAATCTATTTTTTTCAAATTCACGTAGTTGAGATTATTGGCCTACAAAATTTTAATCCCAAAATTGGTCTTGGAGCTATTTTTTTTAAAGAGACCCTATTTGAATAGGTGTGTCGGTCCACGCATCATAACAGATGCCTTTAATTTGGTTAAAACCCAATTATTTTACTGAGGATGTTTGATAAAATATGGTGGTCTGCAACAATGTAGGGATCTCTCCAACAACAAATTGACCGGCATTGTTCCCCAAGGACTCTTAAACAAGGCTGCTTCCGGAGCTCTTAGATTGTAAGCTGCCTCTCTCTCTCTCTCTCTCTAGTTGTGAATTGTGTAGATATATTTCTCAGTTTTCATCTTTAATGAGGTAATGCTTGTGAATATGCAGAAATGTCACAGGAAACATGATTCCCAGCCCGCCAAGGAAATTGGGAAGAGGTAAGAACAAAGGCTTGAACTCATAGGTATCTTATGACCATAGAATCTTGTAGTCAAAAATCTCATCAATGTTCAATACTTGGATGGACGGCCATAGAAGGATAATGGTTCCATTCTTCCAATAATGACCGCAGGTCATATGGGTCTGGTTTACTTTATCAATACGAAATAGTTCTTACGCCTCTAAACTATTTTATTTCTAATGTTTTTTCTACAAAAACTCTTGATACCAAATTTTCCTTTTCCACTCCTCTTAAACTCCCACTTGTGAAAAATATGGATATAAAATTCTCAATAAAACCAAATGACCAAAATACTGGTTTCTTTTAAGGGTATTTTGGATATTTTATTTTATAAAAAATTAAAATATTTTTTTTAGGTGCACCCCATTTGAATGATGGAAAGTTCGAAATTTCATATTCATATAACTTGTAGAAAAAATATTAAAAATCAAATACTCTAAAGGGATCCAGATCAAACAGTCAGTGGCTCATTTTATCAAAATTGAACAACTGGAAAGGGAGGGAAGTATGTATCTTCCATACAGTAGGAGAAATATAGAAAATTTTCCCAATAGTTGTAAATGAGTCTTAGGACTCAAATGTAGATCTTTTTCGGCAAATATTTCTTAATGGTCGGGGCAACTCACCCACTTCCCAGTATTAGGGGGACCTCCAAAAATCACAGTCACATCTATAACACTTTTATGCTCAATTTAAGGAAAAAAGAAAAAACACTCGCTCCAAATTGAACGGCTTTATGGGGACGGAAGTATATATCTTCCATACGCTAAGGAAAGTATAGAAATCTTTGTCGATGATTTTTATGAGTCTTAGGACTCATATATAGATAGATATATGTCCCCTCTTTTTTGGTAAATATTTTCGAATGGCCGGGGTGACTCTCCTACTTCGTAGTATATGGGGAACCTCAAAAAATCACAAATCACATTATATCCTAAAAAAGAGATTGAGGAACACATAAGGTGCTCCAAATTGAATTCCCTCTAAGATTAATATTGAGATTTATTTGTTGAATGTGACATAAGTTTCTTCCGGCTGCAATTCAATTATCATTTTCTTCATAAACTTGGGGGCAAAGTTTGAAGGGGTATGGGATCCATCCAACATGATATCCTTAAGTAGAATGAACCACTTAGAACCTACACTTTGTTGGGATTGGAACCATTTATTTTTTTATAAAAGAAAGTCACAATTACCATTAGCTCTGGATGTACAATTAAATAATTTATTAAAATGTGTCACATATTTTGAAAATTTTTATTTTGGACCACCGACACACCTCTAGTCACCCGATTTTACATCTAATAGTTGATTATAATCATGACTTGTACAAAAATAAATGGTGTTATTGCATACATTTTCTATTTTAAAATAGCATGGCAAAGTATTGCTTTTTACGGAAGTATTGAAATATGAAAAAGTGCATCCTCGTCTAAAACTTTTAGACCAACATCTTATAAGTTGTAACAAAAAAAATTATCAATAATTTTGCAGCAGCAATCTCATATCAGTCTTCAATTTTTAAAATTCCAAAGAAAATTTAGCAAAATCTTTTGGAGCAGTTCCCCCTAAGAAAAAAAAGGATATTTTTTTTAAAGGAATTTCTGTTGCGCCTTCCAATGTATGATTTCTCCTTCTCTCCCATATCTTTTCGTGTAATCTCTCCTAGCATTGCTCACTTTTTCTTTGTTATTATTACTTATTCTTTTTATTTATTTTGTTTTGCAGCTTAATTAATGGAGTAATGCTTCCAGATAGAATGGCCTCAAAAAGACGGTCAACAATACAGGAAACTAAGAGTAGAAGAAATAAAGATGATTAAATCATAATCAAATCCCTATTACTGATGGTGGGATTTTAAATTGAGATTTGTTTACTGATAGTGGGAATTTAAATTGAGATTAGTTTTTTTCAATTTTCCATGTTCTTAAATTTAAATAATGAAGTATGTACCTCGAATCAAAATTCACGTTCTTATGTTACACCAAATGGATTTAAAATATTACATCCCACGAATTTGAAGTCCTAAAATTAATTCTAAATGGGATTTTATCCGACGGACTAAATGGGCATTATACTCCCATGGGAATATAGATTCTTTTCACATGCAACGGAGAATGAGATATGAGATTTGGGCACTGGCTTGGATTCAAAGCTCACGTACTTGGAAAGAGACTAGTATTCAAAGCTCAAATATTTCAAAGGGAAAAAGAAATAAAACCTCCTCTCCAAAATTCTAATTCTAAATGACATATTGGTCCGATAAATATCTCAGGGAACCTCTTTAACTTGCCCCTTACCTTTTCATTTTTCAAATTATAGACTTTACCCTTCCTCTTTTTTCTAATAACCTCTAGAAGGTCTCTAGAGAGATAAATGAAAGGGAAACATTTTTGTGTAAATTTCTTATATTATTTCATGGTAGGTCTTCTATCCATTTTTTTTCAACCGGCCTAAAGAAATCTTTTTATATTATTTCAACCCAAAAACGTGTTTTAATGGATAGAAAGGTAAAATAGGATTAAAAAAGTTTTTAGGTTGAAATGAAAATATTTGCATCAAGGTCTAAGATGGCTTGGCTTTCGAGAACGAGAAGCTTGAACAGCTCGGCTTATCATAGCTAGATGTCCGGCTCATGCTGGCTTTGCCTGCTGTGGTAGTATAGTAGCCCTCGAGAAGGTATGCGTGGACCTGGTCCTTCCTCTCTAGTCTTTCTTACTTGATAAGTGGGTACAGTGAAATCTTTAAGGGTTTCTTTATATGGCTTGAAAGAAAAAAAAGAAACATGGTCTACCATGAAATAATATGAAGAATTAGGGTTCTATACGTAATTTTCCGAAAAGGAGAAAGAGAATGAGAGCTTTTTTAGGATTTAGATAACATGATGATTAAAAAAAATATGGTAAATTATATAATTTGGACAATATAAAGATAAAGAGGGGGTTCAACTTCCTTCTTTGTTTAACCCACGGGATATTTATAGGACTAAGAGATTATTTGAAATTACAATTTTAGAGAAGGTGGTTTATGTCGTTTTTGCTATGCTATTTCGAAATAGAGAACTACAAAACTGCGGCACACTTTCAAGTTCGAATCTTTTGCAAAGAAATTGAATGGCTTAGTTTCAAACTTTGTGCTTTAGCACTAAAGATTTTTTTGGCCTGGGGAGACTGAAATATTTTTGGAATCAAAATTTAAGTAAAATTAACTGAAATGAAAATCTAGGGACATGGAAGGAGATTGACTAAAGATTTTCAAAGTCTAATTGCAATGCTAAAATTAAACATAAATAAGATAAAAGGGAAAAGAAAGAGACCATATATCTTCGAGATCCGCAACATAGATCCCAACCCAAGAACAGATCAAATTAAATTGTATGAGTTGGATTTTGGGATAGATCCCCAGTATGATTATATATAAGAAAAATCAAATCAGGTTAAGTAGTATACGAGAAGGATCAAATGGATCTAAGGTAGTTAAACGTTATATGAAAAGGATCAAATGGATCTAATGTACTTAAATGGATAAGCAGGTTAAATAGTATACGAGAAGGATCAAATGGATCTAAGGTAGTTAAATGTTATATGAGAAGGATCAAATGGATCTAATGTACTTAAATGGATAAGTTTGTTTTTGAGAAATGTATTTAAATGGATATGAGAAGGGATCAAATGGATCTAAGGGGATATTTATGTATGTGAAGGTAAATTGTATTGCAATTTTTCTGGTGACAGCTTTTCTGCAGGAATAACAAGATTCAAATATCACTTGTCATGAGAACAAATGAATGATATAAAAGATTGTCGTCGAGTACCGGATGACGTACTTTGGCTGTTTATGCGACACACGAGGAATCTTCTAATCCTCAAAAGAAGAAGAACAAATTTTTCAAAATGTTAATCAATGTTGGATAAACCTAGGTACCTCTACTACCGGTTCATGTTTGCAACATAGTTCTTTACGATCATTGTTGTAAAGAATGAAGGAAAAAAAAGCTTTTATTATCTAGTTTTTGTTATTATTTGCTTAATTTCAATATCTTTTCTATTTCAAAATCCGTTTTTAAAACTCCCCCGGATTTCTCCACAATTTTCCAAAAATAGTTGCTTTTTTTTTTTTTTAAGCGCTTTTTAGCTGGCATGGCCAATGGACAATCAAATAAGGGGCGATAAAGTCTTAGGGTTTTTTTTTTTTTTGGCCATAATTTTACAAAAACCCTTTTCCAACCTCTGATTGATGGAGATTAAACGTTAAACGAGACGGAGATTGCATTTTCTTTGCCAAAATTTCATGTATAAACACCTATCTCTCTTAGATGAGTTTAAACTCGAAATAAGGCGGAGATTATTTCATGTATAAATACCCATCTCTCTTAGATGAGTTTAAACTCGAAACAAGGCGGAGAGTGCATTTTCTTTGCCAAAATTTCATGAATAAACGCCCATCTCTCTCTCTGGGGGAATAAATCAAATTTATTTATCTTTCTCTCTAATCCATATTTACCTTTTGAAGGGCAACATCCCTAAGCCCCTCTCCCCCTCTCTCTCTGTCTCTTTCTGTTATCGTCTGAATATTTAATTCAAAACACATATCTCTCTCTGTTTCCCTAATGAAAATTATGTTTATAGTAAACTTAAACAAAACACATCTAAAAGTTATTAAAAAATCAGTGAAAAAGGCAATTTATTGACGGAGGTATTTTTTAAATAACCCACTGGTACTTTAAATAATCCAAAAAGAAGGAAAAATATAAAAATAAGTATTCATGGCCCAAACACTTCTCAATTTTTACCAAAACAATAGAAAACATAAGAAAACACATTACAGTTTATTTTCTTTCTGTTTTTTCTTTTTTTGGATTGTTTATATTTCTTTGAAATTTTTTCAACATGTTCAAAATTTGACCACAAAAACTGCCTAAAATCGGATTGGCCAAAAGCCGATGTTGGATGATCCGGCCAGTTCTATTTCAACCCCACATATTGTCGAACACTGCTCTCAATGCTCCGATAAAGATCTGCTAGTTGGAAGCATATAGCTTTAAAGAGTCAGAGGAGCACAAAATGTGGATTCTAAGGAGAGCGAGGGGGGTGGCGGGCCATGAGGCTTGGGCAGTGTCTGTAAAACAGGCTGGTTAGAACCAAAACCAGCCGTTTAGATCGCTACCGGTGGGGTGGCGAGTCCGGTTAAGGCCGTTTTTATGGTACACCTCATAAGATGACACTCTCCAAACACACCAAGCCCAAAACCGGCTGGTTTCAAGTAGAACCGGCGGTTTTTAACATAATCCGGCTGTTTTTTTCTAACCGGTCCAGCTAACCGTTTTAACTCCCAATATAACGATGATTTCAACGCATCAAATAACGGTCGTTATTTAATACATGCCCGTTATTTTTCACAGAACAAGATTTTGCCGCATTTTTTTTTGTATATTTTTTGTTTTTTTGGATCAACTATTGATGTTATATACCGGAACGTTTCTATAAATCTTCGATTATTGAATCAAAATTCCAAAAACAAAGAGTTCTTGGCAGATTGAAATGGGTTTTTTGAAAATTAGAAATTTTCGCCATTCTATCAAATGCAGCTTCAATACCCCATAGACTTTCATAAAAATGGAGGGCTTTGATTCATTGTTGAAGGATTCAAGAGGGCTTTGATTCATTGTTGAAGGATTCAACATTCACATATTTCAAATTTTCTAAAACGATGAAAATTTGAGGTTTTTTTGGGCCCGAAGTACTGCAGCTCGGAGAACTGTTTTGTATCCAAACAAATTGATTTCTGATCGATTAATTGATCGATTTTTATCTAATTGATCGCTGAATTTTGATCATAAAGGCGTCATGTATCAAATAAACTAATTATTTTGATTTACTATTGATTAAATTTTTTTATACCGATTTTTTTTTGCTGCGTTTGTTTCCTGAAATTTTCGTGAAGTGAAAAATCCGCAATTGTTTGAATAAAGATCTCAATAGGGAATGAATCTTTATGAAATTTGGGGCATTTGAATCTTAATTAAAGTATCTATCATATCCCCATGTCAATTTGTTCAAAAAATGAAAGGGGTTTGATTTTGACTCTAAAGTTTCTGTTTTTTTTGGCTCGATTTTAGGGTTCTTAAAAAAAATTTGTTTTTTAATAAAATTATGTTTTTTTTTATAAAAATATATTATTTGTGATGAATATAAGGGAAAAATATATATATATATATTCTTTTTTTTTAATTTATGTATTTTTGGTGAACGTTTTGGATCGTTTTTTATGTTATTTATGTTTTTTACAAAAATGTCTTTTTTTTTTATGAATATGAGAAAAGAATATTTCTTTCTTTTTAATGTTATATATTTTTGGTGAGCTTGTTGGATTTGTTTTAATGTTATATATTTTTTTTATAAAAAATATTTTTTTTTGTGATGACTATGAGAAAAAAAATTTATTTCTTTTTAAGGTTATTTTTGGTGCA